CTCTTTATGACTATTTAGTGAACAAAGAATTTTTTGGATAAATGGATATCTCATGAATTTTCTTTCAGGATAATACAGTTAATACGACTTATTATGACTTTCAAAGGTTATTCCACTTTCATGTTTTATCCCTTAGACCGTCTCGTATTATAGTATAGCTTAAAATGAATTGTAGTGTGGAATATAATCAAATATAGTTTTATATTCCAATCATGACGAATTTAGCTACAATGCGATGTAAGATAAAAATAGATTTAAGTGAATAAGTAATGTAAATGAAAATAAAAATATGAAATTCAATGAATAAGTAATTTGAAATTCAATGTAAATGAAAATAAAAATATGAAATCCAATGAATAAGTGATTTGAATAAGTAATTTAAATGAAAATAAAAATATGACATTAAATTAATAAGTAAATACAAGTGAAAATAATATGAAATTTAAAGTAAACATTCAATGTACCGATTTAGCAAATTTCATCTATTGTATCTATGTACGGTTTTAATAATTTCGTAATCAATCGACGATTCTTAAAATAGAACAATTTAATAATTCATTTATTACTGATTAATTGTAATCATGAATTTATAAATAAACCATTTTGCGAAATTCTAAAATTAGAATTACGTATTCACTATGTGTATAGTTATATTGCCGGTATTCTACTATTATATCTATTATTATACACATAGTATCACTATACACCTAGACAAGCATTAAAAATAAAAAAATCAAGTCAATTTAATTTCATAAATTTATCGTGGCAACTTTTTTTAGTGCTATTCCACTAAAGTGGTTGGATTGATCTGAGAATTCACAGACGAAAAATTAATGCATGGATTTTCCCACAAGTTTTTTTTGTACACACCCTTGCAAATCGTTTGATTTATTTATTCTATTAATATTTCACGAATTGAAAATAATTCCGAATATACCAATAGAAACACATATAAATGCACGTGATAAGATAAAGTTTAGACTCGAAGGGTGAAAACTCCTTAGCTTCATATGTTTACTGACCAACATCATTACAATTAACTATCTATCATAAGGTACATAAGTACGTACGACAAATACTTAATTATGTGATGCTAGCTATCACATAGTTGGAAACAAAGAAACAAAATCGTTTATTTTCCCAGGAGACCACTTACGTGATTTGACAAAAAGATTTCCTTGAGTAATCTAACCAAATATTTATTCTTATTGATTTATTAATGCATTATTTAGTCCTAAAAATAACCAAACTTTAAGGAATTACTTTTCGTTGGTTACGCTGAGAAGATTTCAATAAAGTGAATGTATTTTTATGGATTTCCACTAAGTAAGATAGATCGACTAATTAATCGAATTATGATTAATCATTCGACAAGGCCAAAAAATGAAAAACGTGAGAAATATGAAAAATGATCACATTAACTATTATGTAGTAAGAAATGGAAATGATGAATAATTTTACTTATGACACTTGCGTCACCATAGCTTCATTCAAAACCCTGACTCTAATTTTAGTTGCATGGCATGTAGCTCTGAAAATTTCCCCTTTTTAGATTCCATATGGTGCATAATTTCTTATCATGTTAATTGTCACGTTTTTGGATTTAAATAGTTGAAAATCAAAAGGCATCAAATTTAATATACATATATTATTTTTTGTACTATTTTTGGAAACTGAAAATCAAAGGTTTCTATGTATATTGTAATTATATCATATGATCGTATAGAATTCATTAATATATTATATTAAAGAATAGAGAAAATCTCGGAGTCAGTTCTAATTTAACGTTAATATGATGATCTATGACGATCCACGAGACTATAAATAGGTTTAATAGTTTAATATGTATTTACATGTTAGAATGAAATATATAGGGTTAGCCTTTATCGGAAAACAAGATAACGGAATTATTATTGGATATTGTTCGATTGTTTGCTTAATACGTACGTACGTAGTAAATAATATATGAGAATATCTAATTATTCGACACCCGAGTCACCCGAGTACAACCTATCAGCGTTAGTTCTTAAATTAAATGTACGTAACATATGTAATCTATGTAATGTAGTAATTAATATTATAAACTTTAAAAAAAAATTTCCCACGAAAATTTTGTAATTTTGTAATATTGATAAAAATAACCTTTTCAGCTATACTTGCTAAATATTGCTGTTGCCCCCTATTCTAAACCTAATGGCGTTATTTATTTATTTATTTTTTTTTTTAAAAAAAAAGTTAAAATTATAAAAACTATATCAAATCGGGTGATGAATAAAATGAATGCATTCTAATCTTTCTAAAAAAAAATTAAATAATAAATATGCTGATTATTTCTTGATCTGGTATTGAGTAAATAGATTCTCACTAATACGTAAAAATGTTTCTCTATGAGATTTCCGCTTAATGTTAAAAATACATGTAAATCCGAGTGCTTAAAATTTTTTATATAAACTCTCAATTCTCTCGAATTTATTTCATCCAAAAAAACAACAAACATTTATACTCAAGATTACAAAATCTTAAAATTGAATTTTTACAATCAAAAAACGAACATTTATTCTCAAATATTTCAAAATCTTTAAACCAAATTCTTTCAATAAAAATGAATAAATTATCTATATTAATTTTTATCATCACAGTAATTACATATGTTCATGCCGTCGCTGTGGATGTTAATAAATTATATACTCGCAACGATGGCGATCCGATAATTGCTACGGTAGAAAATGAACAAGTATTCTGTACCTTTCTTCCACGAAAAGCTGGCGAAGAGATTGGTGCAAGTGAAGATGACGCTATTGCATTCTGTTCCGTTCAATCCGTCAATGCTCCCAATGCTGGTTTATTTCCAGAAGGCCTCGTCCGAACAATGCATTTTGAACAAGGTGATAATTACGTTCAAATCACTGGAACCATTGATTCAAGTAAATACGTGGTCTTAACCGACACTGGCGGTCAATATGACCCCAAGGCTCCTCAGGGTGCATCCTGTCACGGATATGACACTTTCGTGAACCTTGTCGAGCCTAACCTCGGTGACGAAAAAAATCCTTCTGGCATTGGTCATTTCTGCATTCGTTGTTGCAATGGTCCTGATGCCGATTCTTTGTGTCCTCTTAACAGAAGTACTGATGGTTGTGAGCAGATTATTCAAGGAGATTATAGCTAATTTGTTAGTAATTTGTTAGAATTTATTAGTAATATTTAAAACATCTAACAATATTCGAACATTTTTTCTTTTAATTCTGTGGGACTGTATAATAAATAAATATAAATAATTATCTTAGAATTAAATTAATACTGTTAATTATAATATACAGTATTTGCACTTTTTAGCATATGATCTGAATGTCTTGTGCGTGTTTGAAAGAATTTATAAGTTTATTATGCTTAAATTCATTATTAATTATGTTATTATAACTTATTTATATGCGTACATATATATATAAATATAAATATCTGATATTAGATAGGAAAATTTATTAAGGGCTAACCTTTTTTTTAATATAAAGTTATGATAATGTATCCGAATCCCTAATTCTCACCCACAATCATGTAATTCGTAATCGTGGTAATTAAACTTATAAAGTAAATACATTGCCAGTTTTTTTATCTATAGACTAAAATTCAGATGTTTAATGTGTCTAGCATAATGTTACTAGTTGAAATTGAAAATAATTTCGACAAATTTTTATAAAATTAATTTTGACTTGTTTTGACTAGTTTTGACGACAGTATCATGCGATTTATTTGTATCACATTATCCCGTTGTTCAACAATGGGTCGAAACATCTAACTATTACTAAAATGTATAAATTTCGATCTTAATGAATTGTTTCTCTGCCTATATCATAAAAAGTTTAGCTCACAATTTGATTAACCAGCGCTAGTCAAAATAATAATTTGGTTCAAGTGCTTTTCGAAAATCAAAAATTTAACCGAAATTAATACGTATTAACCCTAACCTAATTCGGGCTAACTTGTCGGGATTTTGACATTGTCGGGAAAGTGGTTGTCGGTATTAAATCTATATAATGAGTAAGTGTACACATCCTTTTATTGCAGTATTGTTCGTCAAGTGCTACGTACGTACGTACGTACGTACGTATTAAAAAGTTCTGTGTAACAGTACGAAAGACTTTTCAAAAAATTCAGTTTAAGCTTATGATAAAGGTTTTTTTTTGCATAATCAGGGGTCCTGTCCTGACTAGGCTTTAATAATCATTATTCCGGATAATATAATTTTACGTAGTTATTTTGCTCCTGGGTACGGATATATAGACATCAGTTAGTTAGTATTTCACGGATTCAAAGTCTTGTTACAGCTAATACTGAAATCCGGGATCCGGCCTGTAGGCTTTTTTTGGGCCCAAAAAGTCATGGTCCACATCGTCTAAAGTCACAAAAATGTAGATCATCCCAAATTTTTTTTTATTTCATCACATTACCTGATTTTTATTGGTTAATGATTTATGCTGCCAAGAAAATTTTGCATTTAATTTCAAATTTAAACCGAAAATTTTTGATGGGAATATCATTAAAATTAAATCATACTATATGAGTGCTGCCAAGTGAAAATCAGGACTTCTAAAAATAAAATTCTTTAGACAACTGAATACGGACTTTAAATGTTATAATATGTGATCAAAAAAACAATATAATTTATTATTCTAGTCGGTTCGGTTAAAAGCCCGCATTCCGTTACGTAAAGAATTCTATTTTTAGAAGTCCTGGTTTTTACTTGGCGGCACCCATATTCAAAATATTAAAAACAAAGTATACAAAAAATGTTTATTTTTATCATGTTTCGTAAGCGGTTAATAAACAATTTATAACTCTGAAGACAATCAACAATCATACAAATCATACGATTTATACAATTCAATTTTACTATATATTTTATACTTAATACTACGTAGCAATTTTGAATTATTACAATTTATTTTTGATAATCAAATATATTTTTTAATTTTCAATAATTTGAGGTATAACTTGAGTATATTTTAATATGATTAGATAACAAACTTATTATAATTTAGAAATTTTTTTCTTTTTGTAAAAAAACTTTTTTTAGCTATTTACATAAACTAAGTTCACTTGATAGTTTTTAAAAAACTTTTTTTTATTAAATAACGTATACTAATATTAGGCCATACAAAGTTGATTTTTGGTTTTTCATAACTAGACCGACCCATTTTTTCAAATTTAATTTTTTTAAAAAAAAGTGTCAATTGTGCCAATTAGCTTACTTTTGTCATTTTTTTCAACATTTATTTGGTATCACTTGATTAAAACCTTAATTTTGCGGAATTATTCAACAGGACAAACAGAAAAAAAAAGCCGACCGACCAACCGACCCAATTTCAGATTCTATATAATGCAAACCGAAAAATTAACTTATTGTGCCTTAAATCTGTTAAAAAAAAATAATCATTAAATGATCTTTATGTTAAAAAATTTATTATAAAGAAATAAATAGCTCACCAAATGTAAAGAAATTGTACATTATTTTTAAATTGATAAATGACATAATTAATAAACGTCATGAATTGAGAAATGATACAGAGCATACGCTGTGTTACGAAAAGAATGGCGTGATAAAAAATTACATATTTCAATAAGTGCTTATAGGAAGTGATTAAAATTTTATTTATTAAAAGCTCATAATATACTTTATCTAATAGTAAAGTTCTATTATTTATTTCTTTAGTAATTTTAGAATTGTTTTTAAAATTGATTTATATATTTTTTTATAAATTTAAAAAAATTGTAAAGCCTAAACCGTAAATGTTAATAGAAATCTAAATTGAACCAAATTTTTATATATTATATAACAATATATAAAAAAAATTGATATAATTTGAATTATTGATTATTGAGATAATTGATATTAAGAATAATATTAAATTCTCAGATTTTAATTTTTTTGACAACTAGTACCTAAACAGCATTAAAATTTTGTAAATTAAGAAATGATATTAATTATATAATGCATAACAATATGGTTTAAAACGGACTGCAAATTATCAAGAAATTTTGCTAATTACTTTTTTTTAAATACATCTTTGTAATTTCATAAATATATAATCTATTTTATATACCAAGTTTCTCAATAACCAGTGGCTCAAATTAAACAAAACTTTTATATATTATAGAACAAGCACTTTCTACAATATAGAAAATTGATTACTAGTTGTTGAGAAAATTAATATAAAGATAACCAATCAAACAGATAAATTGAAACTTTACATAATCGTTTATATTAATTTTTTTGTTAAAACTGCATCAGATTTTGGTATGCTATAAAAAGATGCTTGATAAATAATATATACTAGGAAAATAGGTGCTGTTGTAAGTCCGAAGCGAATTAAAAAAAATTATCCAGTCATTTATATGATTAGTCACGTGGGAAGACAGATGGAAAAAATTCTGCTTAGGCTCTAGTATTGGGGATCTGCGGTAGAG